GCGAGGAACATGCACTCGATCATCTCTGCGACTGGACATAGGGCTCCGGCCTAAACTAGTATAAATCCTTGTGTCTATTAGATGCTACCATCGTCTTCCTAGAGCGGCACGGTAATCATATAAATTTACTAGTCTAATTTATGAAACACTGACAACTCTGCTTTGAGCAACTTTAACGGATTTACTTTTCATTCACACTACTATGTGCAGGGTAGGCTACGCGTTAACGGTGCTCACTCACTAGCAAAAAAAGCTTGCTGGATTGTAATGTAGTCTGTGGTACGGCAGGAATGCTACAGGTTGAAGAGAACATACTTCAATGTCATCTCTGCTAATTAGATCCATATGACCTCTTCTGTCTCATCCATGAACGATGCACAGTGGTGTGAACTTGTCAAGATTTGGTCTAGTACTAAGAACAAGGTGTGTGAACCCATCGATTTCCTATCTAGTCATGCTATGGTCTACTTGTGCTACAGTCTAGCACAAATAAAGCTATAGGAAACATCTGAGAAGAACAAGCGAAACCGTGCAAGAGTGAAGTACCACCAAGCTATAGGATCTCGATCCAATGTTGTCCAGATGCAAAATTTTATAAGTGATGGTTGTGTTTTATTGTTACTCTTTTATTTGTATAAATATAAACCGAAACTCATGTGCAATGTGAACAAAAGAAGATCAAGAGGAATGCAGCAGAACAACATTAAGGACTTGAAGAAGAAAATGGTCCACCTGATGAAGATGTTAATGCTGTGAAAGTCTTTAGGGACTTTCATACCATTAGGACACATGGCCTGAGCGATGCTCAAGAGCAGTAGTTGTAAGTACCTTCTTTTGCTTCCCTTGAAATCTATTGAAGCCATTGCCATAAAAGAAGGAAACATAGCAGGAGCCTAGTGTTATAGAAATCTACTAAAATCTACTGAAGCTTATGTAATCTCTATTAGTAGTAGGATGAGGAAGACCTATGCATTACTTGTTATGAATCAATCTCTTGGGTTTTCAATTGAAGTCCTCTTACACTATATGTAACCTAATGTTTTACTGATTGAATTTCGCAGGAAGCAATGGAAACTATGCAAGCAGAACTTATTGTTGATGGGCAGCAAACAATTACTAGTGCTAATGTTGTTTGCAGGGTCCTCTACATCAACCAGGGCAAGACCCCCTCCTAGGGAAGCAGCAACAACCTTTTTTGAAGAATGCTGGTATCCAGACAAGCTCCACTAGAACAGAGACATCGGCAGAGAGAATGCTTCGGGAACAGCTTGCTGCTGAACAGGAAAGTTTTGCTGCCTTCGTCGATCAAGTGGATGAACTGAAGAGGAAGACAAAAAATACTGAAAGGGAGCTTGAGGAATACAAGAAACAGCAATAGGAGGAGTACAACAATCTCCGTGAGCTATGCACGCACTTCAGCTCTTCTAGTAACTCTCAGTCTTCAACTCTTGTGGCTTGATGCAATAAACATTTGTGGTTTGATGTGTGGACTCATGTGCCTGTTTGATGTGTGTACTCGTATGCTTGTTTAATATGGTGATACTCTGTCAGTGGGTCGCTGCTAATGTGTGAAATGTAAATTGTTGTTATTTGATTGTCATGCTAAATAGTTATGTAGTTAGTCTGTGCAGTAGTGACAATCTCAAATTACTTCTATGACAAATTGATTGTACTCCACGCGGTAGAACCAGGACAGGCCACGTGATCAAATAAAAATACGACACGTGGATGAACCAGTGCACGACACGTGAATTGGTTAGGGCACAACACGTGGGCTATTAAAAATCTAACATGCGAAAGGAAATCGTTAAGCCACGTGGACGTATAAAAAATCGACACGTGGATGGACAGCATAGTGACGCGTGGTCAAATAAGAAACATACACGTGGACCAATAAAAATAGGACACGTGGTCAAATAAAGAAGTGACACGTGATCCAACGGCAACACGACATGTGTGCTAGTAGAAAACTAATATGTGGAACAACAGGGAAATGACATGTGGTCCAATAAAAACCTGAAATGTGCCAAAACCAGAGATATCCATGTTGTGCAATAAGAAGGTGACACGTACCCGCACCATCTCCAATACAACCAGCTATAGCATGTACACGTGGACTATAGCATGTACATGTGGAAAGCATCTCCAACGGAAGCGCCCACCAGCGTGGTAGCCCCCTACCACGCATGCCAAAACAGTTCTATGACAATCTATTTTTCATCACATATCAAGGCAATTCTATGATGATTTTTGTCAGATTCGTCATAGATATGCAAGAGTGACGTGACTTCTATGACAAACTAGTTTTTGTCATAAATTCGTCATAAAACTAAAATTATGACGAATTTGGCTCCTTCAATGACGAAATCTATTCGTCATAGAAGTGGATATTTCTAGTAGTGAATAGAGTTGACATTAAGCTTCCTAGAAATGACAAGATCAGGGTGAGGCCACATTATGCTCAAGGATGCCCACGGGACTAGTATGCCTCCTTTGACAACATATCAAGTGAAGGCTTTTATGGTGAAGAACTAAAGACTTATGTTGGAGGTCACAACTACTAGAAAGAACAGTTCTTGAAGATGTGTACTTCAACTCGGTTGCCTGAGAAGTACCTAGATAGCTTTAGGTCTAATGATAAAATGAATTTAGCTATCTTTGCAAGAATAGTGCATATGGAATGGAAATTAACCCCTTCAAGGAGCAAGTTGGTTAGAGCTAGGAGCTTTGCAATGAAGAAGATTTATGGAGATGAATCTAAACATTACAACATGTTTGGGGACTATGGAAATGAAGTCATGAGGTCAAGCAATCTAGGCATTACTTTTTTCAAAAGGGATAAAATCACCTTCTATATGTTGAGTGAAACACACACTTAGACAATGACTAGGAATATTTCAGCACACGTGTTCATGCATACGGTGTCGTACACTTGCCATGTCGTGCACTCACCACAGGGCCAACACATCAAGCACCACATGCTCATGTATGTGGCATGCTGCACATGTGCACTAACACACGCCCATACACACACGCACGTGCACACATGTACACACGCAAACAGGCGCGTTCCCACACACACGCATGCGCACACAAGTACACATGCACATGCGCGCACACACAAACACATATACACTAGGGCCTACTTGTGCCATGTGCTACATGGCTACACTCCTAACCCATGCACGACTATAACCATAGTTATGTTACTATTTGCAACATCTCATAGTACAGATAGCTCAATCCACTCTAGACGCTATGTGAACTACATACAACCAACCTCATTGAGCTTTTGTTCTTGCTTCACGTAAACAGGTTAACATGGGGTTGGTTGGTATGCACTTTAATGTGGGATCAAATCTCCACAGTTTCACATATCAACACACATGGGTCATGATGGGCCTCAATCAAATTGAGCCGAATGTTGTAATAAATATTTATTCTAATAGTTTATCAATTGTGGAAAATATTCCCTTAACAAACACAAACAATGTCACCATAATTCATTGTAAATATATTAATGCTGAATAAAAATAAAGTTTTAAATTGTTTACTTTAGATAAGTTTATATATTTTGACCGAAACAATGACATGTCAATACTAGTAATTTTATTGTAAGCATTTGTGTTTTTATAAAAAAAAATACTATACATATAATTATTTGATATAGCAAATTCAATATTTTCAATATTGTGGTGTCATACTGTACCATTGTAATAGCTAGGAGTGTCATCTAGGACCAAAATTTAGATTTTAATAAAGTGTAATGTAAAAGAAAAAATGAATAAAAGGTACAATAAATGCTAGAGTTTTAACTTCACACGTGGACTAAAAATATATAACACCTAATAAGATCAAATGTTGACAGCCAAAATATAGATTCATGTTTTGTAGAATGAGGTGTAATAAAAGTTAATACAACTTAAGCTTAGACTTCAACTGAATACATAATCTACAGAAGTATAATATAAAGGATGACAATATATACTAATATTAACAAAGAGGCCCTCAACAGAGCCACCATAAATGCTATGTGTTACCATGTGTACAAAATATACAAGCATATTTTGAGTGGCGTAGTGTAGGTTGTTTATGCCATTGTAGTACCTAAGAGTGGGGTCTAGAATCTAGATAAAAAATTTGCCACAACTAATAAGATCAAATAAAATCAAAATATAAATTCATGTTGCCACAAAAATGGTGCAATAAGTGCTGATATAATTTAATCTAATTTTACAACTAAATACATAGTAAAACCGCACACATGGGTGCAATACAAAGGTTGAAAAACACACATATATATAGTAGTAATTAGTAAATTTATCATACCGGCTAGAGATTTTAGAGTATCTAAATCGCTACACATTTAGAAATAAATAAAGAGTGAGTAAAGATATCATCAATTTTGATTAGTTGTATCTACTAATTTACCTAAAAATTAAAACTTTTAATATTTATAAAACATATATGATTATAGAGCGTGAGTATAGGTTGATGGGCTAGTTACTGATATTACAGAATGCATAAACACATCCTACCTCTATGCGCTGAGATTGACAACAAGTTACCACATGCGCCTTGTTGTCTATGGCTACAATCTAGTACATCACATACAGGTGAAGTAATAATGTCGTCATAAATTAAGTTCAAAAATAAATCCTAAAAAATATGAGCATCCGTGTCCAGTCACGGACTTGAACCTGGATATAGGTTCACAGTAAAAAAAAACCTCATTAGCTGAGCTACACTATTTTGTAGCTTATGTTTGCTAAATAGAAAACACACATAGATTATTGATTTATATAGCTCACTTGCCACTAACTCTGTTTTCACAAAAGTTGTACATAATGGTCTTTGGATTTCTTTTTATTTTCTAAATGAATAGTCTTTGCATACAAGTTTCAGCACAAACCATAAACGTATATTATTCATTTTTCTATTGAATAAATATTATTCATTACCTGGCAGAAAATTTATTACTGCTACCATTCAGCAATCAATCACACAGTTGCTTCACCTGTCGGGATCTTGACGTAGTCATGGGCCATCACCTCCTTGCTCTCCATGGCTTGGTAGTAGTACACCATCGCTGCGGCGTAGTAGAAGAGCTGCACCAAGCCGGACAGCAGCGCGTATACGGAGAGCAGAGCCAGCCCCATGGGCATGCTCTTCTTCAACCACGCAAGCGCAACCGCGTGGAGCGGGATGGAACCATCTCCACCAGTTGGACCACGACGACCAGCACGCAGCCTTCCTTCCTCCACACCTGTGTCATCAGCCGCCACGCCAGCGTGAGCGCGCTCACGCCGCGGCGGTCCGCGTCGGCCACCGACGCGGCTATGGCGACGAAGAAGACGATGTTGAGGTACAGGAACACGAGGAACGGGAGCACGAAGAGGACCGCCATGTAGAGCACCCCCCATGTGGCTCATCGCGAGCTGGAGCAGCGCGACGAGGAGGAGAATGCACGCGACGTTGAGGACGCCCACCATGGCGACGGTTATGAGAGGGCCCCTCAGGCGACGCCCCTTCATGATCACCTCGGTGAAGAGCTCAGGGAGTGAGTAGCGGTCGCCGGCGTAGGTGGTGGAGGTGGCGAAGAAGGCTATGATCTGTTTGGCAAAGCTTTCTGCAAAGGTGATGATTAGGAGCGCGATGGAGATTATGACAAGCTCCCCTGGCTTCCTTTAAGATCTCCGCCATGAGCTCGGCGTAATCGGCGCTTGAGGGGTCCATGTTCTTGATCTCGTCGAGGTGGTGCAGTATGTCGGCTGTGCGCGGCTGGATGCAGAAGACATTGGTGATTTGGAGAATAAGGAGGGGAGCGCTTACCAGGAGGAAGACAGGGACGAAGAGCTTGGCGTTCTGGGTCGGAAGGAGCAGGGCGTCCTTGAGGAAGGAGAGGCATGACGAGGAGCTTGATTTGGCTTTAGTCGCCATGGCTGCCTGATCGCTTTGATGATCTACCAAATGGTAGCGATGAGCTAGCTGAAGGATAAGGCTTAACAATGAAGGAGCTGCCAAAGCTGAAGAAAATTTAGATGGCTGTTGGTGGAGACATAATGGCACATATGCAGTCTAGTCTACGCGGAAGACTTGGAAAATTATGTGCCGTGTAGGCCACTATAGGACTCAATGCAAATGCTTTGAAAAATAAGCTCACCCTATCCTATTGTAAGTTGAAAGTGATGTGTACGGTTTGGAATGGAGTGTTACGATTGGTGCCTGCTCACTCCATTCTAAATTGTAATTCACTTTGCTTTGTCCTAAATTAAACTTTTAAATTTTAATCAAGTTTTGATAAATCTATAGATAAAAAAACAGCGCTACCATTATATATTTCAAGTGTCTAATGAACATTATAGATGTTAATGCATTTATAAACTTGATCAAAATTGACAATTTTGACTTGGGATAAAACCTAAAGAGCAATAGTGCCATATATAATTGGGAACAGATGTAGTAGTATTTTTATAACTAAGATCTATATATATGGGAATAACAGTGTCATATACAAATTTGTTTCGTTTGTCCCTTTCTCTCTTGTCCGTTCATCCATCCTAAACTCTCACAGTGCCCTCCTCGTTCATCCATCCCTCACTCTCACAGTGCCCCCCTCCTCTCTCTCTCTCTCTCTCTCCATATGATCGTCCCTTCCCATATGGCTACATCACTCCCACATGGCAACACCTCTTCTAACATCACTCATTCTGTCATCCCTCACTTTCATCTTTGGAGCTACAAAACATTCGATTGGCGCGTCACACCACTTGTATGTCATGGCCTAGTTGTCCGAGCCCATGCACATTGTGACTCAATACGCAAGCAGGCGTATGGCTGGCCATCTACCTTTCTTAACCTCACAAGAGGTGCACACAACAGTCATCCATTTAAGCTGAGTTACTCTTCAATCATTTTTTCATACGAGATTAGTCATTTATTGTACCTAGCATTTATTAAGAGACTTAGAATTATTTGATTTAATTAAAATAAGGTGAGGTCAAGGCCAGTTAAATCCAAAGCTCATTATCATTAACATGGTTGTATCTAGGGTGACCGTGCTACAAATTATATATCTTATCTCAATTTACGGACATGTTTGTTGGTACTTATCAGTTATCACAAAGGCGACTCCATCACTTTCACATGTTGCCCTACTAATTTACATCTCCCTATATTAAGCCAGTCTTACATATACTTACACACAGCGTTAAGCAGCTAATATCATTTTTTGCCTTCATGGGAGGTTTTATATGTCCCTGTTTTCAAGATGTGGCAGTTTTAAAAACAAGACATGAAACAACCTCTCTCAATCCATATTTTCATTTTTACTATTTCATAGGCTAGCTAAAACATTTAACTTTTCATGGTGTTATAGTCAAACATGCCATATATGAAAAACATGGTCACTTGCAGTACTATCTAAATTAAGTACTAGCATAAAAATATCAATAGCAATAGTTTAATTTACTTTAATATTGTATAATAATATATAATAATAGAGTTGCGTATATAAAATAAGTTACATATCACTTGATAAACATGTGGGGCATAGTGGACAGCGAAGATGTGAGCCGCATAATCGGCAAAAAAAACACATGAGATGAAATTGTGGGCTCTCAATGTAAATTTTGTTGGAGTTTCGTTCATTAGAAAATAGTGTTAACTATGTTACATGGGTGAAATTCATCTCCTTTTTCCTCTTATAATTTCTATACCAACTCATCACTCTTGCTGGTGTAGTACTACAATAAATGAATATAAAAGTCTATTGAGATTGGTCTTAGTGCAATATTATAATAAAGGATTGTTTGCCGGTGGAAGAGAGAGATAAGGAGAGGATAAGTGGATTGTGAGTGTCGGGGTCATAACCCCAGGGTGTCTCGGGGCACCGATTAGTTAGCGGGCCACATGGCCCACAACCCAGCAGCTAGAAAAGGCCCGAACGACCGAGGCCTAGCAAAAGCAGAGTAGAGCAGGCCAGGCGCTAAGGCCGGGGGCAATCATGATCCCTTCCTCTAGCATTAGCCGCATGATGCTCAAATACACAACCTCTTCCCCATCACGACCCCTAGGAGAGACAGGGAGAGGTCAAGCCCCGCGTGACGTGCCCGTTCTGACGAAGGCAAGCACGCTGCGCTGACCCCTCAAGGACCGATATGACAGCAGTCACCTCGGTCCGGTTAGATGCCAACCCAGTGCCATACCACATCAACAAGACAACACCACACAGCGGTGGCAATGGGTATGAAACCCACCATCCGAATACGGACCGACAGGATGCGCGTACAATCCAACCCACTACGGGATGGGATCCATGACAAGGGCCTCGACCTAGAGACCTCCCTGGCTCACGGAGTGCCCCGATCCTAACGATCGGGGTCATGGCCCTCAGCCCCACGAAGTGACCAGGCGAACAACGACCCAGGGTGGCTACCTACTATGGGTACGGTGCCCCAGGGAACCTGGAGATGACGGCGAAGACCATGACGGATGCCGCTGACGAACTATAACCATGGCTACAGTGCTGCCACGACCAGCACAGAAGCACCACGTCAGACCCTGCCGCAACGTGGCCACAAGACCATGATGACAGCCATGCCTGGGCAAGCATCAGAAGATGGTGTAGCTTGCAAGCCAAGTCAGCTAGGACCTCCCTTAGGCTCTCGACCCTTTAGTTGGGGGAACCTCCTCTTTGTAACGAGCCCTGGCCCCAAACTCTATATAAGGGCAGCTAGGGCTTCCATCTTGGGACATCTTCTCATTCTTCATCCTCTACCATTCCATCCATTAACCATAGCAGTAGGGCTCCTGGAGCTTCTCTTCGGGCTGTCCCTCATCTAGCATAGGTTCTACCACCTGTTTCACCATTCTTGCACCACCATTGTAAGAACTTCAGAGCATTCAAGCGAGGAACACGCACTCGATCTTCTCTGAGACTGGACATACGGCTCCGGCTTGAACCAGTATAAATCCTCATGTCTATTGGATGCTACCATCGTCTTCCTAGAGCAGCGCATCAATCGTATAAATTTACTAGTCCAGTTTATTAAATACCGACATGACTACTACTACTACTACTGATACGAATGTTGTGACCGAGTGCACTCCATATGCAATAGTTTTACTCATTGCTCTATACTATATAGTGTCTAACGAGATCAAATGTGCTACATTCGGACTTTCTTGCAAGCGCAATAAAATATGAGAATGAAGCGCATGCGGTAGGAAAGCTGGACCACCATGACACGCTTAAGACTTGAATGCCTGGTGTGGTTGTGATAGGTCTTTTCTATACTTATTTCACTCTAATCCAAGTAGTCATGGCAGTTGAGGGGTAGACTGATTGCTATGACACTCTACTGTCCTATGAGATCAAATACGCAGCGGCCGGACTTTCTTACGTTCGTAGTAACAGTCAATAGCTTTGGCTCCTGCATTCTACATTAGATCGAGGTGAGACATGTTCAGATGAACTCCTCGCTGCATGGTTCTTTCAAGTCCAACAAATTTTATCAAAGACACGAGTTGGCTTTAACAAAGAGCAAAAGCACTCATGAATGTTTAGCAAATTAAGTTTCACATCAAAGACAACCAGAAAGAAATAAGAGTTCACACAAACATGCATGCAAATAAGAGTTCACATATTCACAAGGGCGTCCCATAGATCAAACCTAGTCATGACTACTAGTACTACTGGTATGTCCCACAGATCAAGGGTTGAGGTGGGCGTGCATGATCTCGTCAACGTCCACCTTCACTAAGACGGCGTTGGCGGCTGGCTCGAAACTCTTGACCAGATCGATGATGTCATCATCCTTCGATTCCGGTGGAAAACCCTGCTCTACCACCCGAACGTTAACTGATGTGCCAATCTGAACCTGGGCAGCAGCTAGTGCCGCGGTAGCCCCTTGACGAACAGTTTCGGTCACCACGGCTCGAAGGCAGGCCGGCAAGGCTCGGAATGGCTCCTCTGTGGAGAACAGATTATCCACTGCTTGTACGGGGAAGCCTGAGTTAATGGCGGCTTGCAAGCATAGGACGAGGGTATCGACGGCATCCTTAGATCTACAAGAAGGTTCATCATGTTTTGGCCCTGCTCCAGATTGATCTCCCAGTTGACTTGCGCCTTGGAGACCTTAGTCATGGAAAACTGAAGTGCATCGTGCATGGTGTCTAGCTCAGGGAGTAGCATCTCGACATTCAGCCTGGTCAATGACAAATCCACTTGGTCCTCGTGGTAATCCTTCAATAATTGATGGTACTCTACGTCATTTGAGGATTCACGCTCTTCTGACGACTCTCCGGCACACACCGGGGGAAAGCCCCATGACCGGGGATGGCGCTGCCATGGAGGAAGCGTTGCACAATGCAAGCCAAGTTCAAGCCCATATAGGATAAGGGGGAGAGCGATCTGATTGAGAAGGCAAATGACTTTTACTAAACTGACCGGCGTAGCATGACACAGAATCGCGAGCGGCTGCCTCCATCGGGGGAAGCTTCGCGGGGCCGCTTTCTGAGTGAGACCGCAAACAAATAATCGGGCTCTAGGGCCAACGAGGCTCGGGACACCGTCACGCCCACGTCCTCCTATTGAGATAGTAGGCAAATTCCAAATACTAGTTAAATTAAATAGCATAAACACAAATACTAGTGTGAGCATTGCTCGCATATACTCTAGTTAAATGAAGATAAACAACATGAACAGCGGTACGGTAATGATCCACCTCCAAAGGGGGAACTGGCGGGTGAGAGACCACGCCAACGAGAGGTCCATCTATCGGTGGTGGATTACCGTCGTGCAAGCCTCTGGGGCCTCCCCATCGATAGACGACCTCATTGGCTCCGCCATGGTCCTAGCAGGAGGCGTCAGCGGTGCAGTAGGGTAGAAGGCAAAAGCTTTGGGATAGAATCGGGAGCTCTAGAGAGAGAAGGCAGCA